AGTGCATCGTGGGTACAGGGCTTCATCTCATCTAGTCGGTATACTACTAACTGGTATCTACCTGATTGAATAATTGGGTCCTCACACGATACACAATGACATGCCGGACAAAAGGGGAAGAGAATCATCTGGGGCACAATTACGATCCTTGTGTTCTTGTGGCAACGGTTGCAACTCTGCGGGAGTCGCACCGCAGTTCCCTGCTCGCCGATGTGACTTGCCGTTCTTCAGGATCATTTTCCTCCTCTCCATGGCCTACTTTTCTTGTGCTTATTTCTCAGTCAGTTTCATCACGTTCAAATGGTATCTGTTTGTACTCTCAAAGGCAGTCATATATCTTGTGATTGGACTTCTTTGAACACAAAAAGTTTCAATTATGACTGGCAAGTGGATGCTGTGTGTGAAGCTGAAAGGAAAAAGCATATAGTAGCCCACCGCGAGGGTCGAACTCGCAGCCTTCAGATACAAACACCCCTGCCTCAGTAAGAGTCTGACGCTCTATCCGATTGAGCTAGGCGGGCGTTACTATTCGGCCACAAATTGAATCCCCAGTGAACGGGGACTCCAGGCAGATTTGGTATCATTTGATTTCGTTCTCTCCACAATTAGTTTTGCTGGCGAATAAGGGGATAGTCCCCATGAATTACAAAAAAAACGCTAGAGGTCTAACCCTAGGATGAAGACATCTCCCGCTCGGTTCCCGTAGACAATAGTGCCGCTGACCTCGCCGATCGCGCAATGTGTAAGATCCTCTGCCGAACATGTTCAGCCAGCATCAAAATCATTTCTCCAAAACATACGCTCACCTCGTGGATCGTGGGACTCTATGCAATATACTGCTTCGCGAGGGATCATAACCTCGTTCTCGATTTCTCCTTTCTGCCAAACAAAGATCTCGCGAATGGTGCTCGATCGCCTTCTCTCCACCCACACGGCACGTTTGCCCTGCGGGCCCAAAGACATCGCAGTCACGAATCCACGAGAATTTACGCCCAGACTTCCGAGTGTATGACTGATATCATTTCTGATTCTCGCAGGTGAGTTCGGACCCGACTTCATGCACTTCGAGCCGGATGAATCATTTGCGTTTGATGGGATATCCGATCTGGCTGAAAGGAGAAACAAGCTATTCTTGTCAATACTGTCTGACAACGGGTATAATCCTACGCAGTTCAAATCAAGGAGAGGGCGGTGTTGGTCTGTCGAAACTTCATCCAATACGATCCGTACTTCGAACCTGAATATACCCCGAAGAAAGTCATACCCATAAAAGCTGAAGGAAATGGTCCCCTGTTCCACAGTGTATTCGGAGATTGAGACGCTCCGAAAAGAGACCGATGCAAGTGGTGAGTTATTTTTAACACCGTAGTCGGCAGTACAGTAAGGTACTTTCGTATTCGTCTCAGTTACGAGTGGATGGACTTCGATGGATCGCGTCTTGAAAACCACCACGTACGTTTCCATGATACGTGCATCAACTACGCCATTTATCTATGGATTAATCAGCTGATCACGAAAGAGGACGGCAGTGTGATATCTGGCGTATTTACCAATTCTTCCAAGTTAACTGGTGAAATACTCATTTTTTTCCTAATCTCGCTCCTATCCCCGGAGGCCGTCGGACCTGTCGGTGCAAGGACGAGATCAACTGTACTCGGACCGGATAAGATCAAGAGTTGCATGGCAGGCTGTATCATTTTAGCTAGCTGTGGTACGCGGCTGACTACAGTGTGGAGCAGCTCAAAAGTAGTGCCGTCATGAACTGCATCTGGGTTATACCGGATTCGAATGCGGTATATTTGTATTATTGACGGTCTAATCTTACATATCATTCTGCTTCGACATATCCGATGAAAAGCACACCTACATGGATGCTCGTGTCAGCGCGATTGTGATGGAATCATGCGATGCATCAAGCGATGCAACTAGAGATGCCCAGTTCCGAGAACCTAAATCCAGGCTTGCACATTGACGAGGCGTAGAACCGCCGTCGTCTAACGATGAGTTGGCAGGATCTATATCCCAAAGGTATATTTGACCTTCAGTGTATCCATAGAGTAACCATCTATCCAGAAATAGTTCCATAAACATCAGGGAGAGACTACCATCGCCTGGCGTAGATAACCGGGTAGGCTGTCTGATGCGTGGCCTGGGCCACGTTAGAGCCGACCGATAGGCGTAAATCATTGCTGATTCAACAATAGCCTGAGACGGAAGAAAATCCAGGCACACCGAGTCTTTTTGCTCCACAAGGGACTGGACGGATGATGAATAGGGAAGGATAGCTCTGCTCTTGCGGAGCAGAGTAAGCCATAACACTCGTGATCTTGTTATCGGCATAAACGCAGTACATATCTGTCTCGATGTGATGAGGCAAGGATGCTGATGTCTACCCGACACTTACGAGACGCATAAGAAGGACAGTCTCAACATCAAAAAACGACATGATGTGCAATATCAGCTCTTTTGGAAGATGCAATAAAGGCGACATCTCTATGCCGAGTGAATTGACACGTCTATGATGAACAATTAAAAGCAGAGTAGGGCTGCAGATATCGACCCCGTAGAGTGACAGCGTGGCGCACGAGGGAAAACAACTGATTGAAGTGGACGTCGATCAAAAATCGAGTACTGTGCAAGGTGGGATACAGTAGTACCTGTGGAACGTAGTGCGTACTGGTCAGACGTCGAGAGGCTGCCTCGACTTCATATACTTGAACTCTACCTTACGGAGATGGCCGGAAGCTATGGGTGGGAATGGGCAGAGACTTTCATCGCAACATGGCGATCGATATCTCTGATTCCTATCTTCAGGATTGCATGAATATGTAGCCATCCTGGGGTTAACACATGACACTAGATGACACTACCGTCATGACAGTGATGTGCAAAGCTTAATTTTCCTGCCAAACACCCCTATATCTTGGTCCAGAGCTGTCGAGAACTTGCGTTAATACAACTCTCCATGATTCATCAATCCTGAACCATGATGCGTGAGCGCTGAGAGATCGATCTCGATTTTCCTTGTATATGAATCAACAGAATGGTCACTCTGTGCAGACAATATGGAAATACATATCCATGCGTATGAAACTCTGATCCATGTAGGAAAGCCAATCATGCAATGCCCATCCGAATGCAGTCAAACTGATAGTTACGTACTGCCCTGATGTTCTGAGTAAGATAGAATAGATTCTGCCCGGCAGTGATAGCTCAGCATTTGAGGTGCTCTCTATTACCTGAACTGATTCCAGATTACCTTCACCCAAGGTATGGTCCCGTTGCGGAGTCGGTCATGATTGCATAAGCAGTTCTTTTGATTGCCGTCTGTGCCGAGATTCCTTAATCCGATGAATTTTCGAGGTCAATGGAGCTTGATGTTATGACCTATATGTAAAGTGCATCTTATCCTCATTGATCTTGCTCTATATGATTTTCTTCTTTTTTCAAGAGAAAACTGAAGACATTCTACACAATGCCAACATTGAAAACAGCCAATCGAGACAAGGATTAAGACCGATCATCGGCGTTTGCCGATCAAAGAAGTCTGCCGCCGAACGGAGTTTGTAATTTTCATTGATTGGTGCTGGGTTTCACGTGTTCCGACTCATCAGAACATCACGATGGTTTTCTTGTTTTGGCAACCTCATGCCTGGAGTTTTTCAGCCTCTGAATCTAATTGGATCAAAACTGATCTTTCGCGACGTAACCTTGCCTACACACACACCCAACACCCGCCACTCAAATTCTGCGAGGACAGTTCCATACCAAACGATACAGTACACAGACATCACCACATCGAATAGTACATTACATCACCGGAGTAGAGTAGCACCATTACTTTACCCCCGCCTCTTGGCCCAGCATTGTGGCTTGCCGGCGGTATAAACTGAATTCATACATTCATTCGAAAACTGATCTTTGTCAACTTTTTGCTCGTTTCCGTATTCCAAGGAACGAAGGATACCTATATATCGTTGTCGCATAATGCCGAAAAAAAGAAGTAACCAGAAAAGGAAGGAGACCAACTGAAATGCACATAATGAGCGTTTCAGGGCGCGCTTCAAGCTTGATGATGGGATTCTAAGAGATCACGTACTAACGCCATCGACGGCTTACTCAGTTCCTGCTTCCTCGAGGCATCGTATCTTGACTTCCTGTTTTTCCTCCACGTCGCTCGATGTCTTCGTCGTTGTTCCTCATCCTCCGGCGACCGCAATTGATCATTGCATTGTTCATTGTGACCATTGTCCTCCTCACTTTTGTCCCCTGGCATCACGGATGGTCAACAGCCAAGAACTTTTCTGAGTCTTGGACACCGCATCGGGACAAGAGACCTAATGGCGTGATTTTTATGCTTCTGCCCCCCTCAAGAGTGCGACAAGTGACATTGGCGCTTAAGAACGTGGAGGAACGTTTCAATCGTAGGCTCAAATACCCATATCTCCTGTTCATGGTTGAGGGAGAGTACGATGAGGTGACGGAGGTGCAGAAGGAAAGAATAGACTATATTACTCAGGGTCGAGCGAAATTTGGTCAGTTTTTCTTAGTCAATTTTTGGAAGTGGTATTGAAGCTATCTGTCAGCCGAAGTACCCAAATCTCAATGGGACGTTCCAGAACATCTCGACAAGTCGCTCGTCGAGGCATCAAGGGAGAAAATTGGGTACAATTGAGTGTCTTTCGGAATGTACCTGAGCTGACATATACTCAAGGTTCTCCCACGGATATCGAGCGATGTGTCGATGGTATTCAGGTTAGTGGTGGCACATCTGATGAGTGCCGAATGAATTAACGTCTGATCTTCCACTCCAACTGACACGCTTGGTCTAGGTTTTTTCTGGAATCACCCAGCATTCCAGCCATATGAGTGGCTTTGGCGGCTCGACACGGATATCGAGTTTCACTGTGACATTGTGAGAACTAGGCTAATCTATTGAACTCTTATTCATCTCAAAACCGTCCTAGCCATACGACCCAATTCAGCGTGTGATCGATAATAATGCAGTCTATGGTACATCAATATTCAATGCTCATTGTGCAATACATCCGTCGACTGAGACAAAATGTACAGGCTTCGTTCAGGTAACATTTGATGCAGAATGGGTTCAGCCGACGTTGGCCTCGAACGTATCTGCATTCATGGCCGATCATCATGATGAATTTCCACCAGATGCTAACCTAGGCTTTGTATGGAGTGGTAGTGAGGGCGTGGAGAAGGCCATGCGTGGCGAAGCAGGAAATGAGGAATGGACGGGACAGTGTATGTATGTGAGTACATATAGTCTCTAACTTCGTTCTTATTCTTCATGTTTCCCAGAATAATTTTGAAATTTCTCATCGAAGTGTATGGGATCATCCTGTTTACACAAGCCTCTTTGAGTTCTTAGACAGAACTGGCGGTAGGTGGATCCAATAAAACCTCTAGCTAGTCGTTGACATGACGACTGTAATGTCTAAGGTTTCTTTTACGAACGTTGGGGTGATTCGCCTGTTCATTCTTATGGGCTCGCGATGACGCT